AAGGCAGCAAAGGTGGAGAAGGAGAAGGCAAAAGCAATAAGCAGAAACAGATCAACGAAAATACATTGTTATTTGTTGTGCTCGTGTTGAACATATTGCAGCTTTTAGCGGTTGTTGCGTAGTTTTCTTATTGTAAGAAACATGTTTATAAATGCTACTTAATATGCAAGTAAGTAAGATCCAGTGCTATCAATCTATTAACATTGGGAAAGAGTGTAAATATGAGGTACAAATATAAAGATAACTAGTAATAATTCAATGGCGGGGGAACATCGCTGTATCTGAACTGCTGCTTTACTTTACTGAGAGGTCACTCAGTTATAACAGCGGCCCCGTGCTGCCGTTTATATTGGCGAGACGGCGAACTTGATGTACAATTTTCCTGCATTTAAAGGGAATCAAACTGAAAAAAGTGTTAATAAAGTGAAAAGGCTGTTTAAAAGAAGAAGATATTACTCCCAGGAGTCCTCAGCTGGCTCCGGTCAGTCTAGGCCAACTGCTTCAGCTGGTGGCGCGGCAGAGTTGAAGAAAGCGAAGAGCTGAAGGGTTTGAATGCAGAGGCAAATGGAATAATTTTCATCTTAAGTAAACTCATTTTCTTTATTTTCACCGATTTACCTCCTATCTTGGTGAGTCACACTGAGATTCTTCTCAGATTCCACTCCATGTTCTAGCCGAGTGCATGGTGTGCACCAGCGGTTCACTCGAAGCGCGAACGAAGTGTTAATGCGAATGAGATTATCTTCCATCTGAATTATTGAATATTTTGAATGAAAATACTGCATTTCCTCATATAAAGATCCATTATAGCGAAATCTGACGCAACGCAACAGGCTGTGTTCAACTTCGTGTGTTGGGTGACCCAGCAATTCCATTTCGATACATTTTCCACAAAGGGTGAATTGTGTGCGGTATCTACTTTTCTATATTTTCATGGGGAAGTTTTGTTGAAGCACTCAGCAAGCGAGATGAACAACTCTTTTTTGCATGTCCCAAGCCTGATCCAGTCGCCGTCGCTTTATTTTGCAAATATTGTTCGTGTTTTGTTTTTTCAGCGCTTCATTTCATCCTTTCCCCTCCACCTGGTATTACACCCCATCAAGACCTGCAAAAGCATCCGTGTGACAACCTCCACGCCAGCACCACAATGGAATTCCGCGAGTTAGAGAGGGCCCACACCGGCGCGCAGCCGGGTTTCTTTTCGAGTTTCAGCGAACTTCCGAATCCTCCTATGGCGACGAAGGGCCAGGAGTTCTTTAGTGTGCAACAGGGGAAAAGAGAAGGAGAACAAGTCTTTATTCACGACCGCGAGCAGCCTCAGCCTCCTCCTCAACACTATGTCCCAGGGAAACCCAGCCCCTTGCACTACGGAGTGCCCCTCTCGGATGGCTACGACGCCGGTGTATATGCAGTGTCAACGGCTTTGTTTGGAGGGGCTGGGTCCTTCAAAACAATTCCAATTCAGTTTAAGTCTGTCTTCAGACGGAGACGCTCAGGCGACTGCCTTTCGGAATGGTCCAATGCATTTGTTACACGAGTAGATCCATGTGAATGCGTTCCCCCTGAAGAGACCTTCACTCCGTATGAGGTCGCCAGATTCAAAGATCAACAAGGACGCACGCACACCACGTTGGACTTCAGTCCATAGACAAAACCAATGAAAACAACAACAGAAGCCACAAAGTCTCGAGCAGATGACGGGGCAAATGGCCGCTGCGATGCAGCCCGTTCCACTTCATCTGCATAAAAGCGCGCAAGCATGGATGTACGCATGCATGGATGGATGTATGCACGCATGTATGCATGCTTACACCCTCTTTGACAGTTGACTGAACTGTCTGTTCGTTTGTCTTTTCCTGACTCGATGACCGCGGCAGTCTCTGTCGCCTAAATGCATTTGCAACAGGTACTCCCTCCTTCTCGCTACAGAGAACCTGACCTCCAGTTTCATTTTATTCTTAACCTTTAGCTGTATGTAGTGAGTGGTTCCTCTCATGCAGTCAATCGCTGCTCCGATTGTCTAAACACTGCGGTGAACGCACTACACATATATACATATATATATATATATATA